TGGAGTGTATGTACAGCTGCTTTATCTTTTTTTATTTGTTGCTGCTGCCGCAGCAGCAGCTCTTCCCGCTGCTGCAGCTGTCTTTCTTTTATTTTTCTTGCTTCTGCTGCTCTTATAGAATCATTTATAAATGCTTCTCTGTCTGCTGCTAGCGACTGCTGCAGCAGCTGCAGCTGTGTTCTTTGACTATTCATTTCTTCTTCTCGCTGCTGCAGCTGCTGCAGCAGATCCATTGCTTCTTGCTGCTGCTGCTGCCCCTGCTGCAGCTCCTCCTGCGCTTGCTGCTGCAGCTGCTCCAGCTCCTCACGCTCACCAGCAAGAGAACGTTTTGCTGCTTCTAGCTGCTGCTCTTCCTGCTGCAGTCGTGCTGCTGCTGCATGCAGTTCTTGCTGCTGCTGCTGCTGCTGCGCCTGCTGAGCAGACAGCTGCACCCGCTGCTGCTGCAGCTCCTGTCTCTCTTTTGCTGCTGTTTGCTGCTGCTCTTGAAGCCGCAGCAGCTGAGTGTCTAGCTGCTGCTGCAAGTTTTGTCTTTCCTGCTGCAACTCTATATATAGCTGCTGCTGCTGCTGCAGTTGCTGCTGCTGCTGCTCCTCCAGCAGCTGCTGCTGCCGCTCTATATACTCCTTTTCAAGTGCTTCTCGCCTCTCCTCAAGTTGCTGCTGCTGCTGCTGCTGCTGCTTTTCAAACTCCTGCTGCAGCTGCTGCAGCTGCTGCTGCTGATCCTCAATATCCTGCTGCTGCTGCTGCAGCTCCTCCCGCTGCTGCTGCAGCTGCTGACGCTCCACGCTGCACTCTCTCTTCGCCGCCTCCGCCTCCTTCTGCAACGCANCTGCTGCTGCAGCTGCTGACGCTCCACGCTGCACTCTCTCTTCGCCGCCTCCGCCTCCTTCTGCAACGCAACAGCAGCAGCAGCAGCAGCAGCAAAACACAAGCAGCAGCAGCTCAGAGAGCGCCAGCAGCAAGAAGCATTTCAGGCTACCAGCAGCAGCAGCAGCAGCAGCAGCAGCAGCAGCAGCAGCAGCAAAGGGAGAAGCAGCACGCACCTCTCTGGCAGCAGTCTGCTCTAGATGCCTCGTAAGGTCCTGCTGTCTGCGTTTGAGGTCTTCTTGCTGCTGCTGCAGCTGCTGCTGCTGCTGCTGCAGCAGCTGCTGTTCTTGCTGCAGCATCTGCTGCTGATGCTCAATGTGTGAGTACTGCTGCTGCAGTTCTTGCTGCTGCGTCTCTTGGTGTCTCTGGAATTGCTGCTGCTGCTGCTGCAGTTCTTCCTCCTGCTGCTGGAGTTGCCGTTGCTGCTGCTGCTGCTCTGCCTCTTGCTGCTGCAGCAGCAGTTGCTGCTGCTGTTGCTCTACCTCTTGCTGCTGCAGCTGCTGCTGCTGCCTCCGCAAGCTGTCTTCTCGGGCATCAGCAGCAGCTTGCTGCTGCAGCAACTGCTGCCGTTGGTTATTAAGGTCTGCTTCTTGCTGCTGCAGTGTCGTTTCGCGTTGTATGAGTTGCTGCTCCTTTTGC